TTGAAGATTTTGAGGGTCTGGTGGCACTTCTGGGCCAAGCCAAATGTCACGATGGTCAAGTGAGTGCCCTGCACAGTTTGGTTGCCCAGTGATGGCGACAATTTTGCTTGTGTGCGTACATAATCGCCTGTCCAAGAAAACAGCATTAGACCTTGACCACGCATGACGCAGAGGCACGGTGGAGCCCAGGCTACAGACATACACCAGCACCAACAGATGCATCATTCTCAGTGGAAAATGAAACTTCCACCTGTATAGGTCTGGGATGCCCCAGGATGCAAGATGGGCCAGGAGTGGGAAGCAGGACGGGGACCACCTCCAGACCACAGCCCCGCACAGGCCAGACAGGGTGTCAGAGACCAGAAGCACAGATGACTCGGGGTGACATCCAGGCTCCTGGGAACACAGTGGGCTCTTGAACAGAAGTTAGGAAACCCATTTTAGGGAAGGGTGACCTTTTGGGTTCCTGGTACTCCGAGTGAGTTGGTGGTGATGGGGAGCTGGTGGGGGCCAGGGCAGTGCTGCGTGCTGCTCCAAGGTTTTCCATAATCGCCACAGTCTCCAGGGGCTTCATCTTGTTCTGCTCTATCGCTCTGTTTCTGAAAAATCCATCTTTTCACTCTGTCTTGGTTTGGGGGAGGGGAGGTCTGGGGACAAGGCTGAGGTGTATCTACAAGGAACAAGGCTGAAGGACTGAAAATGTAGGACCCACCGATGAGGGCCAGTGGATGGAGAATCCATGGGCAGGGAACCAACCTGAGCCTTGGAGGGGAGCCACAGGAGGGAAGAAGAGGCCCATGGAGCTGAGGAAGCAGCTGGGATGGATGGGTGTGGCAGGGAGGAAAAGGTGTGGTAGGAGAACAGAGATCACGGGACAGAGACCAGGGGCCATGGGAACGTGCTCCCAGAGGATCCGACAGCGTCTCCAGATCCTTGGGGTGCTATAACTGGGTGGCTGCATCTCGTGGATGGAGGATTTCTGGCACCCTGCAATGCACAGCTCCCCACCTCCACTAGACCCCGCAGCTCCAAATGCAATGCTGGGAAGATCAGGGGTCCCTCTTCTGGAGCCAGCAGGCTTTCGGGTGTGATCCCTGCTTGAAGCAACAACAACGGATGTGTGACCTTGGCCGGTGCTGCAGCTTCTCTGAGTCTCGGTTTCCATATCTGGAAAGTGGGGGTGATGGGACCACGCTGGTGGAGAGGAAGGGACTCAGTCGCATCTCAAGCACAGTGGCCCTGGTAGGTATCAGGGAAGTGCCGAAAGCAGGGTGGAGCCCGTGTGATCACATCTTTGGCAGAAAGGGGGTGACTGACCTCATGCTGTTGTTTCTTTGGGGTGAGAAGGGATTGGCCCCAGATGCAGAGGCCAGAGAAGGGTGTGTGGGAGGGGGGACTAATGGACAGACTGCTTGGTCCCTTGGGGACCAGGGAGGGACTTGTCACACATTTGTGCATTTATTTACCCCCACGAGGGCCTTGGGCTAATGCACAGTTGTAACAAGACCAGAACAAGTTACAAGTTGTAACTTGTAACAAGACCAGAAACCATCAGGCAGCACAGGAAGCTGTTCCTTGTCATCTCCCTGGCCCTCTGCTCCCAGGCACCCAGCCACAGCACACCGACTCACTTTTCCTCTGTTCACGGCACATGAAAGTGTCACATAAGCATTTTCCATGATGTGCTAGTAGCCTCGTGACATCTATCACTTTCTCTATCATGAGGATAACCTCATTGTTTTTTCCTGACTGTGAAAAATGCACGGTGCTTTTTGGTTTTGCTTTAAAAAAAAAGAAAAAAGAAAGAAAAATATAACCAGGACCCCAAAATATGAAGAATGTAGCAATCCCTGTTTCCCACCACACCCTTCTGAGATCACTGGGTTAGCCTTTGGGTCGCTCCCTGTCCTGGCAAACAAATCCCCAGGCTTTCTCGCTGTGTTGAGTTGCTGATTTGTTCGGATCAGTGAGAGCATTATTGAACTGCCTGGATTTTTGCTCTGCAGCAAAGGGGTTTTGATGGTTGGGCTGGAGTTGTTTGGAAAAGTGGGGAAGTGTCTGTACATGAGTAGACATAAGAACAGGAAGCCAGAACATTCTGAAAGGTGCTGGAAGGAGGAATTATGGGACATGTGCGATGTATTGATTTTCTCGGGCTACCGTGGCTAAACAACACTGCCAGTGAGCGTGTGCCTCAAAGCCCTGGAGCCTGGAGGTCTGAGCCGAAGGTGTGGACAGGACCCTGCTGCCTCCCAGGGTCCAGCTAGGGGCCCTTCCTGGACTCTCCCTAGCTCCTTCTGGCAGCCGATGATCCGTGGTATCCCTGGGCTGTATCTGCCTCCCCCCCTCTGACTTGCCTGTGCGGTTCTCCGTGTCCTCTCTGTGTTCCCGTCTCCCTCTGCTTCTCCGGTCCTCGGTCGGTGTCTTCGGAGGAAGTCAGACAATCCAGTCTGACAACCTGAATTCCCGCAAAGCTGCTTCCAACAACGGCTGTGCTAGCGAGCGACAGTCTCAGTACTTCAGAACAGGGGAACGTAGTCCAACCCAGAGTACCTGTGGCATATCCAGCATGCTGGAGGAGAAAGAGGGAGCTGCAGGGGCCCCTCTGCAAGGAAAGAGCCCCAGGAGCCTTAAAACCGAGATTCAGAGTGTGAGGTGGAACGGCAGCGGCTGCCACCTGTGTTTTATTAAGCTCCCGGTAGTTTTTGCGAGAGGGACGGGGTTTAATCGGAGCTCCTGTGGGCCCAGAGACCCCGCTGGCCCCCTCCCCACCATCATCAGCTTGCCTGGTTGGCAGCCACAGGCATCCCGTGTCCCCTGCCCGCCAGTTTCTTGGGTGGCTGCCACCTAATTTCTTTTCAGCCTGGACTAATTTCTTGCAGTCCTCGGGCTGGCAGGAAGTGTCGCTAATTCCCAAAGTCCTTCCATATGGCCCGTTCAGAGCATGAGGTTCCATCCCCTCCCCTCTAGCCTGGCAGCCGGCAGGGTCCCCCATGCTCAGGCCCCGCGGACTCCAGCCCCCAGAGCGGGGACTCCACAGATGCCCCTCTGACCTTGGAGCTGGCTTTCGTTTGGGGAAATGCCATTCTCTCACCATGCAGGATCAGATCATGGGCTCAGTTCTTTTCACAGAGGGAGACTGGGGGACTGGCGAGAGCTCAGGGGTCAGAAGCACATACCTCACATGCCCAGAGCCCCCCATGTCTGCTCTCCAATACCACAGGACCCCCTGGGCACCCCCAGGTGTGGCCTAGTGGTCACCAAGCACCACTGGGTTCAAACATTGAACCGTTCAGTTCAGCTGACTGAGTGTCACCAGGAGTGACCCCTGGGGCTCCCTGAGCACTGTTCGGAAACTCCCCCCAAATAAATGCAATTAAAAATAAAGGATACTGAGAGGGGCTTGGAGATAGCTCAGTGGTGGAACCGCAGCCTCAGGCACAGCCCATATTCTGTGTGCACTCCTGTCTTCAAGACCCAGCTCTGCAACAAGGTGCGGGCTCTGGGGCACCAGAGTGAATGTGTGTGCCCCCTGCAGCTGAGTATGTGCCTCCTGCAGCGAACTGTACCTGCTGCAGCCTAGAGTGTGTGCTCTTGCAGCTAGCTGACGGTGTATGCGCCGTACAGCTGCAGCTAAGTGCATGCACCCCAGGAGCCAAACATGTGACCCCCCACCCCACATCTGAGTGCGTGAGCCCCTGCACATAGCTGAATTCATGCAGCCCCCTGTAACCAAGAGCTTTCACCTCCTACTCCTGCAGAAACAGAAAAAAAAGCAGAAGTGAAGGAGGAAAAGAAGATAAACGCACTAACACTGTGTGTGTGAGAAAGAGAGAGAGAGAGTGAGAAAGAGCCAGAGAGCCCAGCACAGCCCCCCTCCCGCACCCCCACTCCCTCCTGATAGTTCCCGTGAGGCCACTGAGAGGTGTCTGTGCCTTGCAGCACATTCTTGCCTCTGCCTTGGGGTGCAGGGACTTCCTTTGAGAGTTGCTTTAATTTACACCCGAATGAATTTTAAATGATTTCTTTGGACCTAAGTGTCTGCCTCCAGCTGAGACCAATGGATCATTCCATTTTGAGTGTAAACCAACACCCTCCGGCAAGGCTGGCTTTCTCAGGTGACTTAGAAGTGAGCTATCCAGAAATAGATGGGCCCTGGGCCCGAGGTGCCCCGTGGGGCTGGGCTGTGGGAAGGAGGGCGTGAGACTATATAGAGCCCGACAACACTGAGTTGCCATGTGGCACCCCCGCTTCCCAACTTGGGGGACTTGGGGAAACTCCTGCCTTCTCTGGGCCGCACCTGCACAGTGGGGGCACTGCCCCCAACCCATGTCCAGGGATGCTTATGAGGATGCATGGGCACTGATCCCGTTTCCACAGGGACCCTGGCCGTGCCCTCAGTGTGTTTGCAAAGCCAGAGCTGCAGAGCCTGGCCTTGCCAACCTCCCTTCCAGGACCTAATTCTGAGCACTGACAGCATCATCGGGCCAGTGGAGTTGATGGGGCCACACCCCCGCCCAGGGTCATGAGGTGTCAGTGCCTTAGTTCTTGTGCCCACTGTGGGGCTAACAGAACCAGAGTCATGTCATGGGATGATCAGGCACTTGGGTTTGTTTTTCCAGCAGCAAATGAAATCTATGTGCAATGTGTAAGACTGTGGGAAAGAGCTATCCACCAAATAAAAGTTCTATTATGGGGCCAAAGAGATCGTCCAGTGGTTGTCCAGTGGGTACAGCGCTCCCCTCACACACGGTCAACCTGGGTTTGATCCCTGGCATCCCTGTGTGGTTTCCCTCCAGGCCTATATATCAGGAGGGATCCCTGAGCCAGGAGCAAGTCCTGAGTACCTCTGGATGTGGCCCCCAAACAAACACACAAATCCTTTTACTTAGTAGCTTCTGCCTCTGGGCACCCGAGCCTCCCAGAGCAGTGACCCCACCCAACCCTTTCTGACCCAGGGTGTGCTGTGCTAACGCCACTGCCGGTCTCTCTCTTGGCAGGTCCTTCAAGCCAGACTTCATCCTCGTCCGCCAGCACGCCTACAGCATGGCGCTTGGGGAGGACTATCGCAGCCTGCTCATTGGCCTGCAGTATGGGGGCCTGCCTGCTGTCAACTCCCTCTACTCTGTCTACAACTTCTGCAGCAAGCCCTGGGTGGTAAGTGACCAGCCAGGCTGGCCCTAGAGCACCCCTTATCCTCCCTGATGCCCATTACTAACATTGAAGCCTCAGAAAAGGGGGTTATCTTTTTTGTGTGGGGAACCTCCTCAGTGGTGCGATGGGACACCAGGGAAATACCTGGCAGAGTCCAGGAGAGCACTGAGGGTCAAACCCAGAACCTTGATCACGCCATACCTGCACTCCATCCCTCTGCACTCTCTCCCTGGCCAGAAAGAAGGCTTAATTTTTACAGAACAACTGAATAAGCAATATTCCAGGCCCCTCCTCCAATTAGGGTCTACAAATATTATACAATAACATGGAGTGATACACCGACATGTTATAAAATCAGTAATAAGAGAGGGTACCCTTCTGTCCTTACTTAAAGTCTGTCATCTTATCCTTGTTCTTTGCAACATTTATTGAGCACTTACTATGGAAAAATCCTAACATCATTTTGTCAAGGCCAGAGAGATAATGCAAGGTATAAGTTGTGTACCCTGCACGTGGCTGATCGGGTTCAATCCCTGGGACCCCATATGGCCCACAAACCCTTACAAGAGTGATCTCTGAGTACAGGGGCAGGAATGAACCCTGAACACAGCCTGGTGTGCCCTCTCTTTCCTGCAAAAAAGGTAAAAAAAATTAAAAGAATTTACCGAATAGACTTGGTCTTCAAGTCCATGTTCTTCCTTGACTCTAGGTATCTTTGCCTGTTTAATCCACTCTGGAGAAGACTGTGCTCTCTCTTGAACACATACATATTTCCCTTCTTTCTCTTCCCTCACATGTTTTGTTTAATAAAAACTATCTTAGGGCCATAGGTAAAATACAGTGAGGAGAGAAATTGTCTTGCGTGAGTCTGACCCAGTATGGGCCCCCAAGCCCTGCCAGGAGTGATCCCTGAATGCAGATCCAGGAGTAAGCCCTGAGCACCACTAGGAGTTATGCAGAAACAAAATGTTTGCTTTTATCCCCCATGCATTGATAGATGCCTTTCACTCATTTCAGCCCAAGACAGACTGCACAGAGGATGGTGGTCCTCAGAGGTACCCCAGAAAGACTGGGGGTCTATTAGTTTTGGGTTCTTCCATTGCTAATGTTCACACAATGACACACCACCTTGTGGTTGTAGAAAAACTGATGATATTTCCCCGAATATGTCACCTTTGAAGCAATGCTGGCCACACTAGACCCCGTGAGCCCACTGGGGCATTGGGTGATGTGGGATGATGCAGGGGAGTATGAGTCCGTGCCTGCCCACATAGCATACAGCGGAGCTCGGCAGGGGAGGGATGGGGCTGAGCTGTTGGAAACCAGAGGGGTTGGCATGCAGGGAACATACTCATTACTGTGTATCATCCCTGCACTCAGTACACCTAGTGGCCAGGCATTGCTTTTGGTGTCAAGGACGAAACTCAGGGCCTTCTGCATGGAGAGCAGCACTCTCTCCTGAAGTTACTTCATGCCAAAGCAGTTTGAACGCAGATTCCATCACCAATGCAACTAAGGCCTGGATGGCGTGTGTCCTATCTGCTGTATACACCATGGAATCCACATGTGCCCTGTGCCTCTCTGAAGGGAGCACTGCAGGGCTGGGTTCGAGAGGCTCTGCTAGCTGGATGCCTAGGACAGGAGGAAATGCTCACTCAGTATGATGGAGTTGGACCACGAGGGGGGGGGGATATGAGGGGCTGATAGCGAGTCCAGCCCTTGCCTTTCCCCTCTCCGCACGGAACAGCAGTCAGGCGCAGCCCTGTCAGATGCCTGAGATTTGGCATCAGGAGGAAGCCTGGCCACCCAACATGCAGTGGCCACTGAGTTCTTCCTCTTCTCTCCTAGTTCTCGCAGCTCATCAAGATCTTCCACTCCCTGGGTCCTGAGAAGTTTCCGTTGGTGGAACAGACCTTCTTCCCTAACCACAAGCCCATGGTGAGTGCTTGCTTTGCTCTGTGCATTCTTGACTGTGGTCTCCCTCCCTTCGGAGTAGGGCACTGGGCTCAGGGTCCATCCCCCGAGTCTAGGCTCATGGAAGAACCCAAGTGACCCACATGGGAAAGAGCCACCCCTCTTGGGGGGGGGGGGGTCTTTTCCGGTAGTTGGGCCAATGACAAAGGCAAAGGCGCTGCTGGGACACTGGAAATTGTCAGCAAGACAGGGCAATGTGTGGCGGCCAAAGGCCGGAGCCTAGGGTCCAGGGTTCGGAATGGCAGGCCCCTCTGTCTCTGGAGTGTGCGTCACCACTTCTAACTCTTGCGTGGACGTCATGTTTTCTTTGTGTGGATGGTCCCAAGGCAGCTTCCTTTCCACATTCTGCTGTGTGCACTCTCTGGGACGTTGTCTGTGGGAAGTGGCTGGGGCATGGCTTGGAGAGTGTCAGGTAGAACTAGGTTTGCCTCTTTGGATGGGAGGTGCAGAGTGCCACCGCCGGGAGATGTGGGATCAGTGAGGGCTCTGCTGTCTGTGTGGGTGCAGAAGATTTAAAACTGGGAAGTTGCGGGGGAAAGTTGTTTGCCTTGCACACGGCCAACACGGGTTCGATTCCCAGAATCCCATATGGTCCCCCAAGCACCGCCAGGAGTGATTCCTGAGTGCAGGGCCAGGAGTAACTCCCCTGAGCATTGACCCAAAAAGCCAAAAGAAAAAAGTGGAAAGCAGAGTTCAGGGTCACATGTCCATGCTGGTCCGTTTAGGAATGTTCTCTCCAGTATCTTGGGGACAGTGACTAGACTATCTGGGTGTCCCCCACTGGGGACCATGGCCTGTTTGTAAACTCCCAAGTGTGGGCAGCAGAGCTGGGGATGGGGTTTGAAAATACAGCTGGGTGGGATGCAGACACTTGGTGGGAGGCGTCTGGCAGTAGGAGAGGCTTCCCTCTGATCAAATGTCCCTGTTACTGTCTGACAGAGGATCACCTGGCGCTGGCTAGAACCAGAAGGGCAGGTGGAATTTGAAAAGTTCCTCCAGCAAGGTGGAAACAGACTTGAGACAATTCAGACTTCACTGAGTCTGAGTTGCTGTTCTTCTGACTTACTAGAACTTGGGTACCGACTTAGCCCTGCAATCCCCCGCTTCGTTCCTGACTTCCCTCGTCAGGCCTGACATGTGACAGGTGCTCAAAGTAGGCTGACTTCAACCTGGAACTTTGTCAGTAACAGTTGGGGGAGGGGGGAGTGGGAAAAGTCCGGCCTTAGGTGCGACTTATGATTTCCTGGCTCATGATTTCCTACTTGGAATTTCAGACAGGTGTTTGGCATCAAGGATGATGTCTTGATGTCTGCTCTCCCCCACTTCCCCTGGGTTGAAGTTGTTCAGAAGAGAACAGAGAGGCCCAGTTAGGACCCCAGCCTTGTTAGAACTGCTTCTGAAAGGCAATTAGGTAGAGCACCAGATGCCATAGAACTTTGGAGACCCTGCACCATAGAGTCTAGGAGGATGGGCAGGGTTGAATGGGCAGCCAGGAGGAAATTGAGGTGGTTTATCCTAAAATTGATTTCCTTTAGGGAAAAAGACCCAGGCAGGCTGCGGAAGTGGGTGAGAATTTGTTCTTGCTGTGAAAGTTATGTGCAAGAAAGTGTGTGTGTGTGTGTGTGTGTGTGCAAGAGAGAGAGAGAGAGAGAGAGACCTGAGGCAGAGGTGTCCCTTCTGGAGTCTACTGAACCCTCCGAAGCCATCAGGACACAAGGAGGCTAGAGAAACCACAGGTGTGTGATAGAAATAAAACCACTTTACTGTTTAGAATAAAGGACACACTATAAAAAGTGAACATTATGCAACATTACAAGACAATATACATTCACGGAATATAAAATTCATAAATAACATGGAGGAAAACTGTAAACAGTGCTACAAAATTTAGCAACAAATACATTCCTTCCAGACAGGGTTTCCTCTGGTTGGTTTCTCTCCATCACTTCTGGGGTCTCAGGGCAGCAGACTGGCTAAGGGGGGAAAGGCGGGAACCCGAGAGAGTCCCAGGTACCTTCCCTCGGAGCTCACATCCATCTCAGCGTTCTTCCAACCTCCTGCTCCCAAGAGCCAGTGGGGAGGTGCTCCATTATCCCCCCTACCCGCTCCCGTTGTTTTGTTTGGCTTTTGCCTGGAGCCAGTGAAAGCGTTCATCATTTGTAAGACACTTTGAGTCATGTTTTCACTTTCAGTGGATCTCGGCATGGGTGTGTCTGCACAGGGTCACGAAGCCACACTGGGGAAGCCTCAAAGTCCAATTAAAGGGCTGGGCCAAGGAGGGGACTACCTCCCGGGCCAGGGGGTGTGGGGGGCACTTGCACCATGGCAAGAAATCCTGTGTCTTTAGTTGCTCAAGAATCATGGGGGCGAGGAACTATGTTGTATTTCAAGATGTAGATCTGAGGCTGGTTCTGGATGGAGGAAGGTGAAGGGGTCACCTGCTCCACCCCCGGGGAGCCCTCGCTACAGAGGCAGAGGGCCCAGGAGTGCTGTTTCCCAAAGAACCCCCTCCCAAAAAAAACCCTTAGACTCAGTTCCCATGACCCTGGATGTTTAGGGGGAACCCGGGCTTCCCAGTGGGGTGCCGGGCAGAAGCATTGGGAGGAAGTGCTGAGAGAGGACAGGCGGGGGGACCCAAAGTCCTGCCTGGCCCAAAGTCTTGCTCTTGTAGCCCTCCTTCTCCCTGCCCCAAGAAAGCCACCAGGGAGCGGCCCAGGGGAGTCTCTGGGCAGGCACTCCCCCTCCCCACCTGCCCCTCCCCCACTTCCCTTCGCCAGTCTAACTGCTGCCTGCACGGAAGTGTGTCACCCTCCATTCCACGGTAGAATTTGAGCCAGGAACATGGTGGCATGGGGTTTCGTGTTGTTGTTGTTGTTGTTGTTGTTTTTCTCTTAAGCACAATGTACACATAGAACAGCCTACACATGACACAAGATTTAGCAAAATAAAACATTCACGATATGATTGAAATACGGAAGTGCCTCAGCTACATAAATGACTTTAAATTATACAGTAAGTGAACAGGTGAAATAAACAAAGCTATAGCTTATAGAAAGCTCAAAAACCGCCCTCGGACGGTATCACTCTCCCAAGGACCTTCCTCTGCCCAGGACCTGCTGTTCTCCTCGCCCGGGCCAGGCAGACAGACAGTAGCTCTCCTCCCACCCCCAACTTTGCCACTCTGTGGGGCGGCTCATACACAGGCCTCCCCGCCACCTCCACCCCCCCCCCCCACACCACCAGATCCCCTTCACATGTGAGTGGCAGTGACCCCCTGGGGAGGAAGGAAGGGGAAAAGGCTGAAGTCCAGTGGCAGGAGGGCACTTGGAAGGGGGTGGATCAGGGGTTCCACTTGGCAAGACTTGGAGGTCGAGAGAAAGAAAATCTCCGAACATTAAGCTTCCCCCTCAGCAACCACTAGCCTGTCCATCTCAGTGACTCGGCATCACGCTGTCCTGTCCAGGGGTCGGGCCTCTGGTCTCCTGCTTGGCTGAGGCCAGGACCCCAAGGTGAAAGGAGGAAGGTAACAAGAGCCGGCCTGGGGAGACCCCTCCATGGCCTGCACTGTCTTCCGAGGCCCACCCAACCCCTCGCCCAGCCTCTTCGTCTGTGAGTGCCAGGCACTGCAGTGTGATGTTTGCTGCTGCTTTTAGCTTTTTGTTTTGTTTTGTTTTGTTTTGTTTTCTGTTCTGTCTCAATCGGCAGTTCAGTTGCTTAAAGTGGAATGAACTGAAGTTACAAATGGGAGCAGAGGGTAAAAGACCCAGAATATGAAAAAAAAAAAGTGAGCTGTTGTGTTCTAACACTACTTTACTGCCAGCCTGGCTCTGCAGAAGAGACGTGCTCATCTGCTTGAACCACCTCACTGTCAACACTAAATTTTATTGACTCAGGGTATTTATATTATAGTCTCAGTCCACACCCTATCCCTGAAAAAAAAAAAACACACATACACAACAGAATGCTTCTGCTAATTGATGGCAGGGTCAGGGTTCTCCTTTGCCCCCGGTTTTAATTCCATGAGCACAGGGCATCAGTAGGTGGGATTCGCCCTTTGGTGAGCTGGGGGAGTCAACCTTCCCCCAACCCCAAGCCCAGGGAAGGGGGCTGGCCACTTTGTCCCTCGCTCCTTATCATCTCACATCACCACTAAGGCCAAATCAATGAAGACCCCCAAATGAAGCAGGAGAAAAAGAAATAGGGGAGAGGACCCCCACAGCTGAGGGTGTTCAGAATCTCAAATTTTGATTAAAATGGAAAAAAAAAGTCAACTTGGAATGTCATGATTTTCTTCCAACAAGCAATGACAACAAAATAGAAGAAATGAAACTATTGGCATATTTAACAGCATGGAACAGAATTCTGTGTCCTGTAAAAAAAAAATTAGCTTATGTCCCCGTGTAGGTATATGCAAATGTGTATAAAGACACATCCTTCTAGGTGAGCTAACGGCTACTCTGGAAATAGTATTCTCTACCCAAATCTACTTGGCTATATTGGTGGATGGTGGGTGGTGGTGGTGGTGGTGGTGGTGGTGGTGGTGGTGGTGGTGGATATCTCCAATTTACAGAAAGACAAGTCCCTGTCCAAATCCCCCACAGAGGAAATGTAGTAAGCAGTAGGGCGAGGAAAGATGCGACTCTCGTCTCTCGCCTGAGCTCATGGCAAGCAACTTGCCTTCTGACCTCAGGCAGATGTTTTAAGTCTTTACTGACTAAGAAAGTTCTGTCAGTCTGGACGCATTGCCCCAGACTCAGAAACATCTGGTCGACCCAAGCCTCACCAGGCGGGGATCTGTGTATGCCACCTCATCTCAGGTTGGCTTCTCAGGTTCCTTCCCTTCCTCTAGCATGAGACACAGATAGACACAGTCGGTGGGGACATGCAGCCGCATCTCCTCTGTGTGGACAGTCCTCCGTGCGTCTTGCCTCAATCTGCTGGCTCCAACGGACTGACCCTGAAACAGTGGACTTTGGGCTTCTTCCTTGTCTGCATCCTTCATGTGCTGGGCGGGGTGGGTCGGGGGAATGGGAAGAGGGAGATGGAGAGGGACAAAACCAAGGAAGCTCTGGGAGATGGTGAGGTGAGGAGGGAAGGGTAGGTTAAGAACAATGCCTGGAGGCTAGAGGTGGGGGGAAGGGTTGGTTTTTCAATTTTTTTGTTGTCCTAAAAAAATAGAGATTATATTATCGTGAAGAAGAGGGGGGAACACCCCTCATTCTTTCTGGCCTGACACCACAAATTCCCAGGTGGAAATGATGGCGGTGGGGGAGGGGGAGATGTGCAAACCCAAAAAAAAGAAGGGATCACATAGGGCCAGGACAGCGGTTCCAAATCAACTCCATATGATAGCACAGACTTTTCTTTAAGTGTTCGAAGTGCGAAATTTGCAAGGAAACAGGCACTAATTTCATTGTCATCATCTGGGAAGAGTTAGTGTCCGAGGGAAGCTCAGCAGGAAGGGAGGGAAGTGAGGCGGGGTGGGGTCTGGTGCTCAGGGGTCGGTGGCGTTGATGATGCTTTTGTCTGGGGGGGCCCATCCTCGGTACCAGCTGCAGTAGCCACCCTTCTGCCGGATGCAGGCGTAGTGCTTGGACTGGTAGCCCGGGTAGCCGAAATTGGACAGCATGTCGGTCCAGAGACACTCGTTTTTGGAGGTCACGAAGCATGGCAGGTAGTAGCAGGACTTGATCTGCAAGGAGACAGCAGCCGAGAGATGGGTGGACTTGACCCAGGCTGATGCTGGCCCTAAGCTGCGACCACCCGCATCTGCCCTTTGGGGAATAGACTATGAACCACTTTCACTGCCCTTGCTGGTCCCCGCTATGCTTCTGCGTTAGCCTCGTTAGTTCTCAGGGCAGCCTGATGTCCCTCTAATTAAAGAGAGGACCAGGAAACAGGACTGAAATCAGGGCATATGCCGGGCATCTTGAGGGATGGTTCACAAGGTTCACTTGAGCATCACTGGATGATGTTCTGGAGTCCCCAGCACCACAGGGCCCTGGGCAGCACTGGATCCTGGGGTCCTTATGGAGAACCACCAGCGCTTTGACCTCCTGAGCACTATTTGGGAGCCCCTTCACAAAAATAACAGAGGTTCAGAGAGATCAGGTAATTTATTTGGGGTCACAAAGCCATTCTGAGGCCTTAGAAAGAGGCTTTTCTTCTCTTGAACCATTGCAAGGAAGGGTGAGTGATGTCAGCTGTGGTTAAGGGAACTGGTCAATCCAAAAGCATCATGGGAACCAGCACTTGGGGATCCAGCTTATGCTGGGTCGAAGTTGGAATTTAGTGAGCTGGGGAACACGGGACAGCTCGATCTCTTTCATCCTCGACTTGCTCATCCACCAAATGAAGGGGAAGAGTCGGGTTAAGTGCTCAGGGGCATGTGGGACGAAGCGAGAACACAGCCCAACTGTACCCTGGGACAGGCAGAGTGCCTGGACCTTGTGCGTGCATCAGGGGGCCTGGCTAGAGGGTGATCTTCTGTAGCACCAGGCCAGGCGCCGCCTTCCAGCACCAGCTAGCCTGTCCCACCACCCCGTGACTCAGCAGCCAGGGGAAGCCCGCTGGAGACAGCTGGCTGACCTGCCAGGGCAAGGACCCAGGCTGCAGACCCGAATTGCCTCCAGCTTGCAGCCCCGGGGCAGCCAGGGCAACCCTGGAGCTGAAAGGCTTCTCCAGCCTCTTCACTGCTCAGCCTGGGGAGGGAGGACCCCCACATTCCTTACCCCCTTCCCGCCCTCCCCAACTCACCTTGCAGTTACAGCCCAGGTGGTAGCGGTAGTTTAGCCCCTTGCGCTGGGAGAGGGTGAGCTGGTCCCATCTCTCGACGAAGTTGCACAGGCCCGTGTACATCTTCCCGTCATAGACGCGGCCTGTGAGTGGAGAGGGGTTGGTCCCGCGCCCGGCCGGCTGGAAGGGCTCACGCACAGAGCACCCAGGCCCAGCCAGCCCGGGCTTCGACTTCCCAGGCAGCCCCACATCCCGGAGGAGGAAAATGAAGCTTAGAGCTAGGAAGCAAACCCCTGACACATGCAGACCTGACACAGAGAACCCGTGACACATGCAGACCCGACATGGAGAATCCATGACACATGCAAACCCGACATGGAAAATCCATGACACGTGACTTGAAGAACCCGTCACATAGACGTGGCAGGGAAACCCCATGACACCTGAAAACCTGACATGGAGACCCCATGACACAAGCAGACCCGACATGGAGACCCTGTGACATGTGCAGACTCAACATGGAGAACCCATGACACATGCAGACCCAACATGGAGAACCCGTGATGTGTGCAGAGGATCTGAGTTTAGGGCTTTTTCCTTTCCTTTATTTAGAGGGAGGTGACGTTCAAATACGCCGACTCTGTCCGAGGAGATGGGAGAGGATGGACATGGTCGCCTCCTCTCAACTCAGAGCAAAGCTGATGGGGTCCCCAGGGTGGAGGCGGATGCGAGGGGCAAAGAGCCTCTAGCTCTTTGGTCCACGGGCCAAGCAGGACAAAGCTAGCCAGGCCAGCTTCTCCCCCCACCCCACCTCTGAACCCTGCGCCTGTGCCCACAGCCCGCCAGAGCCCACAGGCCATTACCTGTGAGTAGGTACTGGTACTTGTTCACCTCCAGCTTCAGGCCACAGAGGCTCTCGGAAGCTTCCGTGTGGATATACTGCACATGGGGCATCTTGGTGAAGCCTCGGTACATCTGTGGGCAGAGGAAGGTCAGGATGGAGCCCAGGGAGCAGGCTGGGGCCGTGCTGTGGGACTGACTCCCCCCACCCCATGGTTGCTTCTGCGAGGAAACCCCTGTCCAGTCAGTCACACACACCCCTACTTCCCCGCATCCCCAATTTCCCAGCAGCTCTCCAGGTACCCGATGCCACCTTTTGAGGGATCCCTCAAAGATTATTGGTAAGCAAATCTGTTCCCGCCTGCAACAACTTTGTGGCATTGTGACACCTTCCTGCTCATTCCTGCCAACACTAGAACCCAGGAGCGGGCACGGAGATCCCCCAGGGCAGACCAGGGCAGACTGGACAGTTGTCAGCTCTGGCCGGCTATCTCCGCTTTCCTGTTATTTATTTATTTGGCCTTTGGGTCACACCCAGCAGTGCTCGGCGTTTACTCCTGGCTCAGCACTCAGGGATCACTCCTGGCAGGCTCAGGGGACTATTTGGGATGCTGGGAATCAAACCTAGGTTGGCTACATGCCAGGCACTACACACTGTGCTGTTGCTCTGGCCTCAGGTATCTCCACATTTTCATCTTGCCCAGAGCATATTTGTTAGCCCAAAGCACCGGGGAGGGGATCTGGAAATCTTAGCTGCTCAACTGAACACTTTCATCCGAGGTGTTTGCAAATCATGGAGTTGAACAGCATGAAACTGCCCCGAGTTGGCCATCATCCCCTCTAGGCTATACTTGAACACAGCCATCCTCAGCTGGAGGCAGCCGCACCCACCCCGACCCCAGCTCAGAAACCACTTTTGCTGTTGTCACAACAGGGAGGCAGAGGTGGTTGTTACCAGGGTCTGTGGCTAGAGACCAGGGACAGCCCCCACACCAAAGCTACAGCCCCAAACGTCAGGAGCACCAAGGTCAAGCATTCCTATTCTCTGTGAGCTCAATCCCCAGGGCAGCCCTAGGAGGCATATTATGGCCATGGCGCCTGACTCCCAGGAAGGTTATACAAGAGCACATGGCTGGCAGAGGAGTAGTTCCAAGCAGGGGCATCACTCAGAGCCAGGGCTCTTCCCCAGGAGTCAGGGTGGGGCGAGCAGCTTGGGCCGGTGGGGAGATGGGGGAGACTGGCCAGTGCCCGCTTGGGGCTCAAGTGTTTCTGCTCCAAATCACGACTGAGGGCTCTCAAGTCCCCAGTCCCCTTCTCAGTGAAAGCAGGCCCTGGTCAGTTGGTGGTCTCTGGGTTTCCCCCCGGGGTGGGGGTGGGGTGGGGACAGGGGGATGGAGGAGGACAGCTTCTCAGCTGCAGTTTCTGGCTCGCATTATTCCTTTGCTTCTGGCAATTAATAAAACGCCAGACATCACCTCCCTGGGGCCTCATCATTCAGTCTAATGGGCTGGTGTTTCTCTCTTCCAAGTGGCAACTCGCTGGCGAGTGGTGGTCCACGAGAGCCCAGGGTCAGACAGGGCCTGTTGTTGTGCCTACAGAGTGTGGGAGCCTGTGTCTTGCTGGGGCCATGGGGGGTGGGCTCAGGGATGGGGGGCTGCTCTCAGTGTGGGTGACCATCAGCGGCAGAGGGCTACAGTTTACTAGCCTCCCTTCTTAACCCTTCTTTTCCCACAAGCCTGCTGAAGGGGAAACAGGTACTCCAAAGAGGGAGTCCATTTGGGGGTTCAATTCTGCTCTGCAGGGAAAGAGTTGCAGTGAATCGAATCATGAACAATAGTGGGCTAGGGCTGGGAGAGAGACCCTGGAACCTTGGAAGCAGAGCGGTCACCAGAATAGGCGATGGGTCCAAGATCCACCCTCAGCACCTACCTCCCCCAAGAAAGCACATTACTTTGTGCACCTCAGTTCCAAAGGAAAGGCTGAGCTATTATACATCTGGGGGGTCCTGTGTCAGGAAGGTGGGGAGCAGGTGAGTTGTAGAGCATGCAGCTCTACAACTCGACTGAAAAACCAGCTTGTGCCACTACTTTCTGATTCCTTTCCTCCATCTTTTTTAAATTATTGTTTTTTTTTTATTGAATCACCACAATAGTCCATTCCAAAAATATTCATGATTGGGTTTCAGCCATACAATGTTCCAGTACCCATCCCTCCACCAGCGTAATTTCCCAGCACCAATGTCCCCAGTTTCCCTGCCATCCCCCATCCCCCCAGCCTGCCTCTATGCAAGCACCTTTCTCTCTCTCTCTCTCTCTCTCTCTCTCTCTCTCTCTCTCTCTCTCTCTCATTTAGGCATTATGGTTGCATTCAATGCAGGGAAAGTGGATCAGGAGGACTGATCATTGGATGAAAATTACCACAGTTCATGGGGTATGGAGGGTAGTTAAGATAAAGGAGGATCCAATATGATAACAGTTGTTGGAAATGATCACTCTGGACAAGAACTGTTGAAAGTAGGTAAAGGGGCATATATGATAACCTTTCCTTCATCTTCACACAGAGCAGAGCTTCTCGCCCAGGGCTGGATGTGGAACATGCTAATGAGGCAGGCCTAAGGGCAGGGCAGGTGGGCACTGGGCCTACTCAGGGGAAGGGCCACCTCTGGGTACCACCACAGCCTGAGGGCAGCGATCTCACTGCAGCTGGCTGCTAGGCTATTCAGAAATAACAGTTCCCGAGTTCCTGCTCTCATGGCTCTGTCTTTAGGCTTGAACAGAGAGGAATACAAGCCTAATTGGGGCCAGTGTCTGCCTGTGTCCACATTCTTCCCCACACATGATTCAGAGGGATCATGGAGGAGCCACTAGCTGATCTGCCACCCCTCCGGCCTCCCATAGATACATGGTGGCTCGAACAGGTTGTTTCTGGAGACTCGAGCAAATGTTTCAACCCACCCATGCACCTTGGAACCTTCAGATCCAGTCTGGGTAGCCCCTATCAATGTTGGTATCACTTTATGCTCATCTCCTCTCTGCTTTATGCCCTCATCTCCTCTCTGCCGTAACACCCCTACAATTGCCCAAGATCAACTGGCCTGCATGAGCAGGCCTTAGCTGTAAGAGTTGAGTTTGAGGGGTGCTTTCTTTGATCATGGCTTCCAGCCCTCCCCAATAACAGTCGGCAAATACTGCTCCCTTTTAGGGCCATTCTGAAAAAAACAAAAGGTAAATTCTACCCACAACAAATCCTATCTTGACCTCAATATTGATCCTCAAAGTCTCCTTCCTTCTGTCGTGTCCTAGAGACCAGGAAGGATTTGTCAAATGTAGGAAGGCTGACACCAGTTTGTCAGGTCCTGACCTTTGGGAATCAGGGACTCTCAGAATTGTGACAACACTGAAGTTCATCTAATCTGGGTCACCAGGTTCTACAGGATGGAGGACTGAGGGTAAGTCCACATCTGTGTCTGCCACCTAATAGCCACTAGGAAAGTGGCCAAGCCTCTGATTCGGTCTCCTAGTTAAGGTAGACAGGTGAGGTTTATACACACACACACACACACACACACACACACACACTGTGAAGGGACCCAACTACCCAGCTCAGAGCAACTGGCAGATTTCCGGTCTCCAGTCACATTATTAATTGAACCACCATGCCGAGTGTTCGATCTCCCGCGCATGCTGCATCAGGAAACTGGGCCCTCTGTCCAGCTTGTCTGCATTCCCAGTCTTTGCCCAACATGCTCCCTGCCAGCTGCAACACCTGGGTACCCTCTGCTCTTGAGTGCTCAGCTATCTCCAAGTCATGGCAAAATGAGCCCAGGGAGTAGATACATTTGAGACCATACATGGTACTCCTTCGGGTGTATGTATTCTTTGTTTTGTGCTCAGGGAACACTCCCGTCATTGCTCAGGGAACCAAATGTGGTGCTGGGAATCGAACCAGGGCCAGCCACATGTTAAGTACAGCCTTAACTCCTGTAACTATCTCTCCAGCCTAGATGTCTGTTTTTTTTTAAATTTATTTGTTTTTGTTTGGGGGACCACACCTGGTGATGCTCGGGACTTACTCATGGGGGCTTAAGGGACCATATGGGATGCCGGGGATAGAACCCCAGTCAGCTGCATGTAAGTCAAGTGTCCTACCTGCTGTACTATCTCTCTGGCCCCCAAGATATCTGTTTTTAAAGGCCAAATAACGTGTGTGTGTGTGTGTGTGTGTGTGTGTGTGTGTGTGTGTGTGTCTGTGTCTGTGTGTACTATGTCTCTTGAAAGTTCCAAGAAATTAGTCCCTATACAAAGTTCCAAGAAGTCAGCTTCCCCTCAGGGAAGAAAGATTTCTTCTTCACACCCTTGCAGAGCTGTAAGTCAGCTCAGCTGCCCCGAGGCAACCCGCCAGCCCAGCTCCCCTCTGTTCTGTAGGGTGGAGGGGCTGGGGTTGGAAGGCAGACAAACCCCCCAATTCCAACCCGCTGGGCCTCCCTTGACACAGACATTCTAGAAAAATCCCAGGAAGGCTCCAAGAGCTGAGCCGTTGTCACTCACCTTCATCTGTTTGATGGTGTAGACCATTGTGCCAAAGGGTCCCTCCTTCACCAGCTTCTTCCCCACCACCTTGGCCCGGATCACTGTGGGGGAAAAAGCAAAAGGGACACGAGTAAGATAGTCCAAATCCTGGGCTCTTCCAGATCTTTCTCTCTCTCCAAAGCCCGTCCTGTCTTCCACCACCTCCGGGTGAGGTTGTTCCTCTGACCTGCCCACAGGACCGTGATGTGCTCCTGCCAGACCCCTGACCCCTGAGCCCAGGTGTTTAGACCCCACTGTGTGGGAGGGGAGAGAGGGGTGTGGGTGCTTGGGACTTGCTCCCGCTGGGACTGTGTGGTATGCCCAGTTCCATTTCCTCCTGCAGGAGGCAGGGCCTGCACCAACCACAACACCTGCACCCAAGAGGTCAGGCAGTGACCCCTCGCGGCACTGGGCTGACTGTTGGAGATACCTGTTCAGCATGCATGTTAGATTCACGTTCTTAACACTATACTCAAAACAGTCACTGCCCACAGCAGAACAGTGGACCCAGGAGGATCGGCCAGAGCTGGCCGCACCTCCAAGTGTGTTCCCCTGGGCACGTGTCTGTGCCCGATGCCCATGCACTCCAAACCGCCGCCTTCCAGGGTGGCATGGCAGAGGAGACAGACGAGATCAGAAGCCCATTCTACCTGGGAACCTCCCTTCGTTTTCACATCTATAAAGAAGGTATTGCTTGGCCTCCAGTGGGGAATGGGAGCGAAGATCAAGCCAGAGATATCATGAGGTCCTCACTGCCACGCCTGGCCATGGGCACCAGGTTGTATTTGTGGCCCTCAAAGGTGGGAAGAGGTTTTGCCTCCTGCCTCCTTGGCCTCACCAGCCCCGATCAGTTAGTCGCCTTCTGCTGCTCCTGACAGCAACATGTGTGGGTGCGAAGGGCCGGATCTGGAGGACAGAGTTTGGAAATGGCAGAGTGGCAGGACTCATGGCGCCACCAGAGCCAAATCCCCGAGAACCAGAGTTGGTACTCACAAGGGCACGCAGAGGGTCTGGTGGAAGGGGCTGAGATTCTGGCATCCAGGGGGACTGGGTGCTTGCCTGCCCGCACGGGGGTGGACGTCAGTACCCAGCAGTCAAGAGTAAAGGGCTGAAGCCACCTCTCCTTCACTGTGCCCTGAGCCCAAAAAGGGAGTCGGCTTTCAAGAAACAGTTGCGAAGGAAGTCTCATTTACAGATGCACACGTGCACGAACGAACACACACACACACACACACACACACACACGCACACGCACGCGCGCACATGCATGCACACACCCTCTCCTTCCCCATCTGGGCTTTGACTCTGATCTCTTACAGCCTCTCCCAACAGCCAGCTCTCTCTCCCCTCTGCCAGCTCCTCCTCCCCTGTTCTTCCTCCCACCTTGAGATGGGTTCCCCAAGACTTCCACAGCCCAGCAGAGCTTCCTTGGCAGGATGGCAAGCACGGGGCCCCTGGCCCAGGCTGCTCAGATAGGGAGGCGGCTGCTTCCAAGTCTCTAGTAAGAAACCTGCTGGCCTGGCTCCCTCCAGTGCCTGCCTCCAGCTCGGGGTCTACTTCCGGCAGCATCCTCATCCTCATCATCCAGGAGCCAGAATCCTGGAATGGGACCGTCCCCCTTGCATCACCCCCAGAAGTCCCCCTCCCTGACTTGCATCACCCCCATCTCAGACTGGGGACTATCCCCCCTGCATCGCGCCCCTGGACCCCTCTTCTGGACTGGGGATTGTCTCCCCCCACCCCCCGCATTCACCCCCACCCAGGGTTGTAACAGAGCACATCAGTTAGGGCTTTTCCTATTGATTCTACCTAAGCTGATGTGACTCCATCTTCTTGTGCTTGGTTAGCCTGAAAGGTAAACGGGGAAGTAGGTCTTTGTCTTGGAGGGAGAAGAAAAAGCCAAAGGACTGACGTTATTTTCTTTTAATTTCCCACTTTGTTGTTGTTGCTGCTGTTATTGTTTTGTGGGGGCGGGGGGCACACCAGCAGTGCTCTGGGCATACTCTTGGCTCTGTGCTCAGGGACCATAATGTGGTGACAGGGATGGCACCCAGGTCAGCCTCTTGCAAGGCAAATGCTTGACCTACTATACTATCTCTCCTTTAACTTAATTTATTTGTGACTTTGGGGCCCCAAACACCAGGGGCCCAGGGGATAGGAGCTGAAGTCAAATCTTCATCTCAGAGTTTCTTATGCTCCTGAAAAAGCGCTTCTGGACTTCTGAGGGTGAAGGAAGATCAAAAGGAAACAGAATTTTCACTTTCAATGTACAAGAAGGACCAGAGAGATAGAACAGTGGGTAAGGCGTTTGCCTTGCATGCAGCCAACCTGGATTTGATTCCTGGCACCACATACAGTTCCTTAAGCACCACTGGGAGGGAGCGAGCTCTGAGCACTGCAGCTGTGGTCCAAAGGGGAAACAGAGCAGCGGGGGGTTGCAAGAAGAAAGTGAGCAGGCTGTAGTGATGCTATTACAGGATTAGACAGGCTGAGGATTCTGTCTCAGATATACCCTACACCCGAGGAGTCTGGCACAAAGAGGTATCTCGCATCTCCCCTCACTTAAATGAGTGAGGGGAAGTGGAGGTCTCTGGTGAGAGGTTGCAAAGAAAGGGAGCAAGGCACATTGTTCCAGAAATGTACCGGGGTGCCACAGCTGAGCCCTGCCCGCCCCCATGCAGAGTAACGGGACCGCAAGAGCACAGGTTTGGAACCAGAAACAATCCTGATGACAAGCGGGATTCGGCTTCCAGAGGAGGCTTGCAGCTGCGCATCTGCTTCTTATCAGCAGATCAGAGAGGGGACAAGGCACCCGTAAGGGGGTGCAGCCTCTAGCCCTCTCCTTCCACCTCCCACCAACCATCTCCAATCAAATCCAGACCTTTCTCCTCCAGATGGAGGGCCGGCTGTGCCTCCCGGGGGGCTGGACAGCCCCGCCTGGCTGCGTTGGGAATCCAAGATCCCTGAACGAATGCATACCGAGTCCAGACTCTGCATTCTGCCCATTTTAGCAATCTGTTGAGACAGAGAAGTTGAGCTAGTCTCCTAGCGGGTACTACACACACACACACACACACACACACACACACACACACACACACAGCCACATTTCTCTCTCTCTCAAAAGACTGCATGCAATGGATTTTAGGAGGAAAGTGAAGTGAGGATAGCAAAACTCAGGGTGGAACATTTCCCAGATAACGGCCCGAGACTGAGTCTTGGTCTGACCCAGGAAACCAAAGCAGATTCCTCGGCCCTCCCGTGACCCCTGGGGGGTCAGCCATCAGCTCCTGCATGTGGGATGATCCAATCTGTCCATCTCTGGGAAGCGAGTGGAACACATGCACACACATGTGTACACACACATATGCACACACACACACACACACACATACACTGTGATGAAGGAGAAGAACCAGCTGCCCCTCCCCTCTCGCTTCCACCCAAAGCCTTGGTGGCCAGCAGCCCTGCCCAGCCCTGCTCAGCCGGTCCCCGCCTGGTGGTGGGACTGGTCAGCAGCGGAGCCTCCTCACTTTTATTTGTGTCCTTTTCAGTCATGTCCCTTGACATGACTCGCCTCCATGTCACCGACAACACCCACATTTTCCAGACTTCCAACCTCAAACTCCCACAGCTTCACACTGCTCGCCACCATCCTTATCCACAATCACCCTGCAACTCTGAAACAGGATCTCCAGGGATCCCCCCAAACTGATCTGTCATCTGCCCTCACATACCCCTCCACCTCCCAGCCCCTTCCCCAGCTCAGACCCTGGCAGTTCGCTCCTCCCCCGCAATGCCCCAGCTTCCGTCCTCCTCCTCCTCCATCACCCCATGCCCCCAGGAGGGCTCCCCACTCACTGCTCCAGTTATCACCCATTAGAGCCCCTCATGTTCCCACCCTCCCTGAATGTCTTCCTGGTTCCTGGCAGAGAGTGAGAGTGATGGTTTTTAAAAAAGAACCCCCACTGGGCTCAGAGAGATAGTAGAGGGGACGAGGTATCCCTCCCTTGCATTGCACAGGACCAGATCTGGAAACTTATAGGGTCCCTTGAACCCTGCCAGGAGTGATCCCTGAACACAGGGCAAGGAGTAAGCCTAGGGGAGCTGTGGCAAACAGCCACTCCTTCTGCACCTTCATGGACCAGAGGGGGATCAGGGCGCTTCTCCCTGTCCTCTCTGCATCCACTCATGCTGCTGTCTTGTGGTTCCTGTGAGGCTCCCAGGGATGCAAGGGCGAGGAAGGGGCTGAAACTCAGAACTGAGGGCCAGAAAAAGGGGACACATGCCCCAGTTCATCCCAGTAAGAAGGACCAGGAGAAGAGGGGTGGGGTGGCTGCAGGGGAGAGCAGTGGCGGGAGCTAGCTGGAGGTGACAGCGGATGTGGGTCTCCGTCCAGCCCCGAGAAGGGACCCAGTTCCCTTTATCTGAATCCAGAGGAAGCAGAAGGCTGGCCTGGGCCCAGGGGAGCCACGGGGGGAAGGCAGTGGGGCCAGGCCCACCTCCCACTTTTCCTGGAAGATGGCCAAGAGAGTTGGGGGGGGGGCGGGAGGCAGGCCGGCGAGTGAGCCGGGGGGGGGCCTCCCAAATGTGCCCTTCCTGTGCCCCCCACGCCTGCTCCCCCAGGGCCGGGCCCTTCTGGTTGAAGTGAGAGCCAAGGGCAGGCGAGGATGTTGCTTCCCCATCAAGATAGGCTCAGCTCTGCTTCAAAGCCCGTCCCCATCAACTTTCCGCGAAGCAACAATATTAATCTTGGTTTTATTTAAGCAGGGGTTTTTGGCAAGAAATGAAACCCATGCAGCTAAAAATAAACCCACATACACACACAGACATGCATACACACATACACATGCACACAAATACACACACACACACACACACACACACGCTGAAAAAAATCTGGAAAGCTGCAAATCATTCCAACCCAAGTTTCCATCCCAGGGAAAACTATTTAAAGCCAGAGGATATTAAACCTTCTCAGCTCAGAGGCTCCTTTCTCAGTGCCTGCCTTGTGATCTGGGGTTCCCCCAGACAAGGTGTTCCTGGGTGGGGGGTGCCTTGT